ATTCTGGGGGGGAAAAGTGGCATCCTGGGGACAAAAGTGGCATCTCTGGGGACAAAAATGGCATCCTGAGGGGCAAAAATCCCACCCTGGGAGAAAAAATGGAATCATGGGAGATAAAAATACCATCCTAAGGACAAAAATGGCATCCCTGGGGACAAAAATGGTACCCTAAGGACAAAAATGCATGGAATGGTTTGGATGGAGCCCCTGGATGTTCCTGAGGATGGAATGGTTTGGATGGAGGCTCTTGATGTTGGTTTGGAATGGTTTGGATGGTTTGGAATGGTCTGGAATGGTTTGGAATGGTTTGGATGGTTTGGATGGTTTAGAATGGTCTGGATGGTTTGGAATGGTTTGGATAGTTTGGAATGGTCTGGAATGGTTTGGATGGAGCCCCTGGATGTTGGTTTGGAATGGTTTGGAATGGTCTGGAATGGTTTGGATGGTTTAGAATGGTCTGGATGGTTTGGAATGGTTTGGATGGTTTGGAATGGTCTGGAATGGTTTGGATGGAGCCCCTGGACGTTGGTTTGGAATGTTTTGAATGGTTTAGAATGGTCTGGATGGTTTGGAATGGTTTGCATGGTTTGGAATGGTCTGGAATGGTCTGGAATGGTTTGGATGGAGCCCCTGGATGTTGGTTTGGAATGGTTTGGAATGGTTTGGAATGGTTTTGGATGGTTTGGAATGGTTTGGAATGGTCTGGAATGGTTTGGAATGGTCTGGAATGGTCTGGAATGGTTTGGATGGAGCCCCTGGACGTTGGTTTGGAATGTTTTGAATGGTTTGGAATGGTTTTGGATGGTTTGGAATGGTTTTGGATGGTTTGGAATGGTCTGGAATGGTTTGGATGGAGCCCCTGGACGTTGGTTTGGAATGTTTTGAATGGTTTGGAATCGTCTGGAATGGTCTGGAATGGTCTGGAATGGTCTGGAATGGTCTGGAATGGTTTGGATGGAGCCCCTGGATGTTGGTTTGGAATGGTTTGGAATGTTTTGAATGGTCTGGAATGGTTTGGAATGGTTTGGAATGTTTTGAATGGTTTGGAATGGTTTGGAATGGTCTGGAATGGTCTGGATGGAGCCCCTGGATGTCCCTCCTGCCCAGGCTGTGCTCCCTGGGTGTTGTTCTCCCACAGATCCAGGGATTTGGAGCTCTCCTGGAGCTCTGGCCTTACCTGAACTTTCATTTCCAGCTCTCTGATCTGATCCTCTTTCAGTTTGATGTCGATTGTTAATTTCTTGCACTCTGTCTCCAGCTCCCGGATGCGATTCCGAAGGCTTTCGGTGCATTCCCCCCTGCAGGGAAACAGCACAAGGAGAAAATAAAAATTAAAATAAAAATGAAAGAAATTAAAAGGAATTAAATTAAAAATTGAAAATAAGAAATTGAAATAAAAAATCGAGATAATAAAAAATAAACCAAAAATATTAAAATAAAGAAATTTTTAAAAATTACAATAAAGAAATTAAAATAAAAATTGAAAATAAGAAATTGAAATAAAAAATAAAAAATAAAACAAAAATATTAAAATAAAGAAATGAAAAGAAATTACAATAAAGAAATTAAAATAAAAATTGAAAATAAGAAATTGAAATAAAAAATAAAAAATAAAACAAAAAGATTAAAATAAAGAAATGAAAAGAAATTACAATAAAGAAATTAAAAGGAATTAAATTAAAAATTGAAAATAAGAAATTGAAATAAAAAATAAAAAATAAAACAAAAAGATTAAAATAAAGAAATGAAAAGAAATTACAATAAAGAAATTAAAAGGAATTAAATTAAAAATTGAAAATAAGAAATTGAAATAAAAAATCGAAATAATAAAAAATAAAACAAAAAGATTAAAATAAAGTAAAATAAATAAATTAAAGAAATTAAAAGAAAGAAATTAAAAGAAAGAAATTAAAAGAGAGAAATTAAAAGAGAGAAATTAAAAGAGAGAAATTAAAAGAAAGAAATTAAAATAAACAAAAATTAAAATAAACAAAAATTAAAATAAAAACATTAAAATAAAATATTAAAATAAATTAATTAAAACAATGAATTAAAACAATAAATTAAAATAAAAATAAATAAATATTTATTTTTTTTTTAAATATAAAAGCACAGGCTCCTCCCTCCTGCCCCAAAGGCTCCCCAGGGCAGAGCACCTGGTGGCAGCAGCAAAGGCCACAGCTCGTGCAGCAGTTGCTTCTTCCAACTTCTTCCTTTTCTTCTCCTCCATTAATTGCTTTTCTACAAAGGTTCGTGCCTCCTGCTCTGCCTTCAGCTTCTTCTCCAGCTGGCTGATGGTCTGTTTGTCCTTCTGCTTCATCTGTACAGCGTTGTGCAACCTGCAGGGGACAGCGGGCACTGAGCATCCCTGATTTAACACAGCAACCCCCCCTGCAGCCCCCAGGACAGGCAGGGTTATTGATAAAAAATGCACAGAAAAATATAGATATCAATCAGGAGAAATGAAGATGGAAAATTGATAGAAATGACAATGTGGCTGGTTCATTTATATGTATATAAGTAAATAATTGATAGCAATATTGATAGCAATTGGATAGAAATATGTAAATATCAGGAGAAATGAAGATGGAAAATTGATGTAAATGACATTGATAGCAGTATTGATAGCAATTGAACAGAAAAATGTAAATATCAGTAGAAATTAATATGAAAAATTGATAGAAATGACAATGTGGCTGGTTCATTTATATGTATATAAGTAAATAATTGATAGCAATATTGATAGCAATTGGATAGAAAAATGTAAATATCAGTAGAAATTAATATGAAAAATTGATAGAAATCAGTAGAAATTAATATGAAAAAGTGATAGAAATGACAATGTGGTTGGTTCATTTATATGCATATAAGTAAATAATTGATAGCAATTGAACAGAAAAATGTAAATATCAATCAGGAGAAATGAAGATGGAAAATTGATGTAAATGACAATGTGGTTAGTACATTTATATATATATAAGTAAATAATTGATAGCAATATTGATAGCAATTGAACAGAAAAATGTAAATATCAGTAGAAATTAATATGAAAAATTGATAGAAATCAGTAGAAATTAATATGAAAAATTGATAGAAATCAGTAGAAATTAATATGGAAAATTGATAGAAATGACAATGTAGCTGGTTCATTTATATGTATATAAGTAAATAATTGATAGCAATTGAATAGAAAAATGCAAAAATCAGTAGAAATGAATATGAAAAATTGATAGAAATGACAATGTGGCTGGTTCATTTATATGTATATAAGTAAATAATTGATAGCAATATTGATAGCAATTGGATAGAAATATGTAAATATCAGTAGAAATGAAGATGGAAAATTGATGTAAATGACATTGATAGCAATATTGATAGCAATTGAACAGAAAAATGTAAATATCAGTAGAAATTAATATGAAAAATTGATAGAAATCAATAGAAATTAATATGAAAAATTGATAGAAATCAGTAGAAATTAATATGGAAAATTGATAGAAATGACAATGTAGCTGGTTCATTTATATGTATATAAGTAAATAATTGATAGCAATTGAATAGAAAAATGCAAAAATCAGTAGAAATGAATATGAAAAATTGATAGAAATGACAATGTGGTTAGTACATTTATATATATAAGTAAATAATTGATAGCAATATTGATAGCAATTGGATAGAAATATGTAAATATCAGGAGAAATGAATATGGAAAATTGATGTAAATGACAATGTGGTTGGTTCATATATATATATATATATATAAGTAAATAATTGATAGCAATATTGATAGCAATTGAACAGAAAAATGTAAATATCAGTAGAAATTAATATGAAAAATTGATAGAAATCAGTAGAAATTAATATGAAAAAGTGATAGAAATGACAATGTGGTTGGTTCATTTATATGCATATAAGTAAATAATTGATAGCAATTGAACAGAAAAATGTAAATATCAATCAGGAGAAATGAAGATGGAAAATTGATGTAAATGACAATGTGGTTAGTACATTTATATATATATAAGTAAATAATTGATAGCAATATTGATAGCAATTGAACAGAAAAATGTAAATATCAGTAGAAATTAATATGAAAAATTGATAGAAATCAGTAGAAATTAATATGAAAAATTGATAGAAATGACAATGTGGCTGGTTCATTTATATGTATATGAGTAAATATTGATAGCAATATTGATAGCAATTGAATAGAAATATGTAAATATCAGGAGAAATGAATATGGAAAATTGATGTAAATGACAATGTGGTTGGTTCATTTATATGTATATAAGTAAATAATTAAAAAGGCAAATAATAAATGGCAAATAAGAAATAAAAAATACCAAAGAAATAAGCAAGAAGAAATAAGAAAAAAAAGAAAATAAGAAGAAATAAGAAGAAATAAGAAAGAAATAAGAAAGAAATAAGTAGTAAGGAATAAGTTAGAAATAAGTATGAAATAAATACGAAATAAATACGAAATAAGTTAGAAATAAGTAAGAAATAAGTAAGAAAAAAGTAAGAAAAAAGTAAGAAAAAAGTAAGAAAAAAGTAAGAAATAAATATAAAATAAATACGAAATAAATCATCGATAAATCATCGACAAATCATCGATAAATCACCGATAAATCACCGATAAATCAGCAATAAATCACCAATAAATCAGCAATAAATCACCAATAAATCATCAATAGATCACCAATAAATCACCAATAAGTCAGCAATAAGTAAGCAATAAATCACTAATAAATCACCAATAAATCACCAATAGATCACCAATAAATCACCAATAAATTAGCAATAAATCACCAATAAATCACCAATAAATCAGCAATAAATCAGCAATAAATCAGCAATAAATCACCAATAAATTAGCAATAAAGCACCAATAAATCAGCAATAAATCACCAATAAATCAGCAATAAATCAGCAATAAATCAGCCATAAGCAGCTGTGTGCTGGGACGTACTTGTTCTGCAGCAGCTCGTTCTCCTGCCGGAGCTGGCCCATCTCGGCGCGGCTGCCGCGCTCGGCGGAGCTCAGCGAGCTCACCTGGCTGCGCAGCTCCTGCTCCACCTGCCTGCTGGCCTGCAGGTCAGCCTTTAGCTTCTTGATGTCCTGCTCCAACCTGCAAACGACAATTCCAGAGGGCACCTTCAGCTTCCAAAAACCAGCAATGACCTCGTGCCACCAGCCAGAACCTCAGAGCTTCAGCCTCACCTCTGAATGGGTCCTAAATTGAGTTTTAATTGCTCTTTGTTATAAATTGATACCATATTTTATTGGCTTTTTGTAAATGTTATAATGAATGTTATGTGTATAAGATTAGAAAATTTACCTGTATTAATATAGTTTATTTCTGTTATTGATGAAACTTAGAAATAGTGGTATAATATATATATATATATATATATATATATATATGTGTGTGTGTTAATCTATGGCATAGTATGAAAATAAAAACTGCTTTTGAGACTGAAAAAGATATTTAGAGACCCCCCTGCATTCATAAATTCTCTTATCCAGATAAAGACAGCAGTGACCAGAGTTCTGGGGAAGGAATTTATTGGGATGGGAAATCTCAATGGCACCAAGAGGATTGATCTATTGGAAAGGGGGCAAGAGAAAATTAAACAGAAGAACCCCAAAAATCTTAAGAATGTCTGAATATGTGTGAGAATTTATGGATATGTAGTAGGATTCTGTTTTTAAGAGACAATCCTTTCTCAGTGAGGTGAATGCAGAGACACCCAGCTGTATCTGGATATTTTTTATCTCCTAATTGTCTTTTTATTAAACTTTTAAATTCTGTAAGAAAAACATGTGAACCTCGTTTTTCACGCTCTTGAACAGAGCCCATCTGCTCCACGCTTCAAACTGCAGCTTTGGAAAGTTAATGAAGATTTGTGTAATCTTATTAATTAAAGTATTGTTAAATAAAACACACTTTTCAGATGAGAGGCTCTCAGCTCACTTTGATTTCGCTCCCCACAAATAAAGTTACTGATTTTTTAGAATAAAAATACATCACAGGTGAATAATCAACCTTTCTAAACTCTGTTACACACTTATTTAAAGCAAATACACCCCAGCCATTCTCACACAATCTTCCTTTGCTCTGCCAGCTATTGATTTGAGAGTTTTTAAATGCCCATAAAAGTGGTTTTATTTCCTAGGGCTGCATTCTGAATTAGTGGGACACTGAGATGAGGAGAACAAATCACAAAAAGCCAGAAAGAGCTTTTGCAGCAGATGAATGGCTGGAGCTTTCCTCATTCCTTAATGGAACATTTTTGGGCTTCAGTGCAGGGAAATCTCAGCCTAAAAGGCACTGAGAGATGAGCAGTGAGAACATCCTGTGCCACTGGATCCAGAGGGGAAGGGAATCTGTGCAAATCCATGGAATTGAGAGGATGAGAGGGTGGATGAAGAGCCAGGAGCAGCCTCTAAAGGAGCTGTGGATGGGCTGGGACACCTCCCACAACTCCAGCCTCAGCCCCCTCCTGCCTCTCCAGCCCTCCTGGGAAGATGAATTCCTTCAGTGCACTAGAAATGCTCAAAAACACCCTTAAACAGGAAAAAAAAATAAATCAATTTACAGGCAAATAGTAACAGCACAAAGCAAATACCCACCTCAAAGGGAAGTGCACAAATCACTTCAACGCCTGGGGCTCTGCTGAGGGAAAGAATTTACAAACCTGACCAAATATCCCAAATATCAGCCCCAAAATAGCAACACCAGGAGCTGGTGGTGCCACCAATGCAGCGTTAAATGATGGTCAGGGCAGCTGTTGGGCAAAGAAATCAGAGTTTTGTTTCATCTGCCAAAAAAAAGCAGCAGCCCAGCGTTGGAGATGTTTTAATTAAAGAGAGTAAGAAGCTGTAGGAGCCACTACCAGACTGGGGTGTGCCAAGAGCTGATTGGTTTTATTCCATGCTTTCAAAAATAGGTGGAAAAATGCTGTTTCAACAGAGAAACACACCTGAATCCCACTGTACACATAAATAATTTCCATATCCGTGGCTCCAGTGAAGTGATAACTGAAGTGCTGTAAATAGCTTTTACCTATGCCAAACTAAGATAGCCCAGGATTTATTTTTGGGTGTTGAGTATTCCAGGAAAAGAAGCCCTGAGCACACAGAGCCTCAACAGCTCAGAGGTGCTGGCACAGGATGGGCTGAATTTGTGTTTTTTGGCAAGGGGGAACTGATGTGAGTTCAGGGTTGTGGAGCCATTCCTGCACCTGAGTGTTCCCAGGGCTGCTCCAGGAAAACTGCTTTTTCCTTCTGTGTGGATGGAATTGGTGGGATCTGGGCTCAGGGAGGGTGGAAAATCCATGAGACATCGCTCCAAAGGGCCCAGAAAAAAAATGAACAGAGAAAATTCCTCTCCTTCCAGTCAATGCCACACAAAACCACTGGAAATTGGGAATGGGCTTGTTTGGAATGAGGAAGATTTCAGCAGGTTTTAATCAGCCCTTTCCATTACATTGAAGGTTTTGCTCCAGCTTTAAACACCTGAGTTTTCTGCCAATTATGGAGCAAATCCAGGCTCCTGTCTCTCTAAAACCAGTGAGGAAGATCAAGATCATCATCATCATCATAATCCAAAGGTTTCCTGTGTGGTTTCTGTCCCAGACCTGCCCCAATTAGGCAGAGACACAACTTCATTAAGGAGAAAACCAGAAGGGAGTTACCCCTTAGAGCCAGGCTTGCACTGTCACACAAGGACATCTACACTGCTCCAAAATAAAATCACATCAAGGTAAATCAATAAAAAGCCATAAAAATATCCCTGCTGCAAGCAGGGAGCTGGGCCTCCTCCCCTCTGGAGCAGGCTGCACTGCTGGGACCATGATAAATGACCCCCAAAACCGGCATTTTTCAGATTATTTTTATTCTTATTCTGATTTCATTTGCTGCTTAAGTCTCTTATTTCCAAGTTTATTGGAGAAAATTATTTCCAGAGGAGGGGGAACAAAGAAAAGTTCTGGAAGATGTTTTTCCCTGCACACAGCAGCACTCACTGTGACACAAAACTGCTTTTTAAATGAGGCTTTAGTTGCAGATTATGTTGTGCTGTTTATACAAGAGAGGTCAATTCCTTGGGTTTGTCATTGCTCTAGCTGCAGATTTACCCATTTCCTCTGCTGAGCACCACCTCCTGTCACTCCTGGTAAGGAGAATTCATCAGGGATCATCTCTGAGAGGGACAATTCTCCCAAATGCCTCGGGGGAGACTGATGGAGGAACTTAAAGACAACTCAATTCCGCTTTAATGTTCACCAGTATTGACATCCAGGTGCTCAGTTTACTCCATCCCATAATCACCTAGTGATTGCACTCAAGTGAAACACAGTTTATATCAAAATTATCACTTTGAAGCACCCACAAGGCCCTGAGGTGCTGTGGAAGAGCCCCAGCTCTGCCTTTGTCCTGCTCTGGGCACAAGCAGCCCCTGCAGTGGAGCTGCTCCTGTGCTCCTGCAGCCCTGAGCTGCTCCTGCTGGAGCTCACACAGAAATCCAAGATCCACAGAAATCCAGGATCCACAGAAAGCCAGGATCCACAGAAAGCCAGGATCCTGCTTTGCAGCATCCTGCATTCCCAAACAGCCAGGGATCCACAGAAAGCCAGGATCCTCCTTTCCCTGCTGGAACTCACAGGCCCTGAGGAACAACCTGCATTCTCAAACAGCCAGGATCCACAGAAATCCAAGATCCACAGAAATCCAGGATCCACAGAAATCCAGGATCAGGATCCTCCTCTCCCTGCTCAGCACTGCTCCAAGCAGCTGCCAGCTCCAAAGGTCGCTCAGTTTCGAGCATTCTGCTGCCTGGGGAAGGAGGGATTGGCTCCCACATTCCTCATTTCCATTCCCAATCCTGATTTTCTGTTCTGTACTTGCTTTCCTAGGGCAGGAAAGCCTGGCCATCACCTCCCTGCAGCTGACACAGGAAACCTTCTGCTGCTTTAACGCCACTCCAGGCAGGGGGTGAACAGGAGGCACCAACCCCTCTCTGCCCATCAGTGAGGCCACCAAATTTTATGATAATAGCACCAAATAGGCCATAAATTCATAAATTCACATTAAAACCTTCCAGTCTGTCTCTGCAGGTAAAGCCATTTTAGGAAAGCGAAATAAGCTGTGGCAGAGCAGCTTTTGCTTCAGCAAGAATTTTCCCAGCTCGACTGCCAGAAGATGTCCTCGTTATCTGTGGGAATAATTAGTACAGGAGACAGCTTGTTCATCACCTCGTGTGCCAAAGGCAGGACCTCTATGGATACAGAGAGTTCTGCCAAGCTGCACTGCCAGGTTTTTTTTGTGTGGTTTTAGTGCAGGGACTTTAAGGGTGCTAAAAGCCAGGGGCAGGTCATGGGTTTTGCCACGTAATGTGCAATAAACAGCCACAAAGAAATAATTCTGCAGCAATTACAGCTTGGAATTGTTCCATATATTGAGGCTCTAAATCTGTTTCACCTCAGGAAAGAGTGAAATGGTAAAAAATGAATTTTCTCTGTGCCTCCTGACAAACAGCAAAGTGCAAAGGGACTGATCCCAAATGGATCTGGAGACCAGAGAGCTGGGAAAGCGCTCAGAGCACAGAGATTCAGTGATGAAGGGTTTGACAAGCACCAGCAGACGTCTCAGAAAAGCCCAAAGGTTCCTGAACCTCTGGGATCCCTCAGCTCTGGCCAGCAAGAATGGAACAATTCCCAGGAATGGGCATCAGGAAGCTCCTCACCACAAAACCAAGCAGTCAGGCCCTGATGTTCCACCAGACAGAGCAAAAAGAAAAGCTTAGCTCCAAATAACAGCAGTATTTTATGCATAAAATAGATATATAAACCTTAACAAGCAGATTCCAGATAGATCATGTCAAGTGTTTCAAAGTAAAACTCCTGGCCTCCAAATCCTCCTGATCTTGACTGTCTCCAGCCCTGTTAACCCCAAGTCCCCAGCAGCAGAAGGAATATTTCACATTTATTTCTGCTTACTCAGGGCCATCATGTGTGGACACAAAAGGAAAGCAGCTCGGGGCTGCCACCCTGCAGCTGGACACCGAGTAGGAAAAAACAGCTTTATTTGGAAGCTGAGCAGATCTGACCTGAGTCTGAACAAATGCAGGACTTCACTCAGCCCTTTCCAGGCTCCAGCAGCAATGCAGACTGAAAGTTTAATAACAGGAATGAGTAACACTCCTGGAAGTGGAAAAGATGATGAACAAATGCCTGGCACTCCAGGGATGGGATAATTGACAAGGTTAAAATAAAAAAAAGCACCATGAATTTTTAAATTTAAGTGCATCCATCTAATCCAATTTGTCAGGTGAGTTTATGCTCCCACTGGTGTGGGAGCTACACGGGCAGGCTGAGCAGAAACGAGATTTCATGAATGATTTCAGGCAGAATTCTGGGCTCTGGTGTTCCCCTGCTCCTGGGCTGCCTGCACAGGGACATCACGGACAAGAAACAGCTCCAGGGATTTGTAGCACAACTCCACACCCACACATCCCAAAAAATACTTGCTTGAAGAAGTTCAACTCCCTCTCAGGGCAGAGTCAGGCATTTTCAGAGTGGAGCTGTGTCCTCTGTCCTTCCCCAGCGAGCTGGAATTCCCTAATCTGGAATTCCTGATCTGTTTTGCTGCAAGATTCATTTCTGTTATCCAAAACTCACCCTGGGCAATTGATGACCCCTGCTCTAAGCTCCCACATGAGGATTTCAACATGGAATTTAAGCTTTAAACACACCAGGATGACAGTCCCTGTCACAGCCACACAATTCTCAGGCTGGCAGGTCATTCCTAAAGGCTTTCCCTCTTCTCAAGGCTTAGGAATGTTTGGAATTGCAGCAAACTGAGCTGACCCTTCTCTCCCAACCTTAAAAAGAGTGCAGAGCTGCCAGCTGAGGATGGGAACCCCCAGGTTTTTGCTGAAGGCAGAGCCATCAATCCTGGATTCACAGATCAGATTGATTGCTGCTTTCTCATTTGCCTCACACAAGCTCTCTACAGACATTAGGTATCAATTAGTCCGGGTGTTTAATTGGCAGGGCTATGTCAATCAGGGGCAGAGCGATTATCAGAGGTGAAAAATAGTATTTCCACTGAAGTAATTGTGTTGCCACAGCACAAATCCTCAGAGACAAAAGCCCAATTATCAAAGGTACCTGCAGGGAAAACAAGCTTGATCTGCCAATTAAGTTAGCCAACAGTGATTTGGTGGAATAAGGAAGAAAAGAGGCATGAGCCAGGTGGAAAATGCTGGAGGAGAATTGTGGAACAGTTTTTGTTCCTGACATCTCTCCGTGCACAGTCACACCGCTTTCCTCACTGCTGCACATGACAACACCATCTGTCTTGGGGTGAGCTGCTGCACCTCACAAATCCATCTCCCTCTCCACTTCCCAGGAGCAGATGGATTTTTCCATGGGGCTTTTCCATGCTGACAGGTTCCCAAACCAATCCCTGTGAGCTGTGGCTGAACTCAGCTCTCTGCACTCGCTGCCTCCACACTGGGAATTACGGATTAAAGCAGAAGCTGAACACACAAAAGGAAAAACAAAACCTGCTCAGGCACCAAGAAACCCCAGTGAACCCCCAGAGAGGCAAAGGTCGCTCCACAGAAGAGCTGGCAAGGACAGATGAGCTGATTTTCTCCATGTTTCTCTTGCTTTCTAGCAGAGCATTGATGGTGCCTCACAAGAGCCCTGTGAGGTAGGGGAGCAGCAGATCCTGAGCCAGAAATGATCTGCTCCAGGCTGCACATCAAACAAAAACCAGGAATTGGATCTCCTGGAGATCTTACCCCACACACCCCTACACAATTCTGTCTTCTCCACGTGATCAGAAATGACATTTTTGATAATAAAAAGCAAACCCCCCTGAGTCCTGATGGACCAAGGGAGGATGAGACAAGGCTCAGGCCCAACTTACCTTACCAGTGCATCTGGTTTGCTTAGCTGGTTATTAGGAATACAATTTTCCATTAAGTCCTTATGTGTGCTCGGGCTCTTGCTGGCACATTTCTGTTTTTTCTCATTTTTTGAGGATGAGGAAGGGATGCTCCCGTTGGTTGCACTGTGGCTGCGGGGTGAGGAGTTCACAACCCCACTGACATTTTTGTAATTTTTGGACGAGGCAGTGCATGAGTCCTCTTTTAAGAGGTTTTCTGTACTTCCTACAAGATCATTATTTAATCTTTTACTATTGATATGGTTTTCCATATATTCAATTTCTTGTATTTTAGAGTCTACAGGTTGCAAAATGTTGTTGTTTATTCCAAGGTTGTGTTTCTTTGCATCCTTGTCCTTTTCTTTCCCTTTTTCTCGATATTCCAGCTCTGGCAACGTTGCAGAGATTTTTTTATTGGCTGGAATGCCTCCATTGTGCTGCAGGAGCATTGAGGAATCCATATCAGATAATCCTTTGGCTGCTGCAACACCAAAGTGAAAACAAAAAACCCAACTTAGTTCATTAAATCCATCAATACCGTGCCACAGAAAGAAAAGTCATTATGGACACATCCATCATTCCTGCAGGAAACAATCAGTATTGGAGACTCTCTAGAAAAGAGAACCTTTTTCTCCAAAGTCACCTATTTTAAGGCATTTTTGCCTCATTCCAGGCAGGAAACAGGAATTTAATAAGATAGTATTTATTATTATTGTTAATATAGTATTTATTTGTTTTTTTATTTATTATTATTGAGCTTCACCCAACTCTGACTGACCAGATGGATGCAACTGCTAATGAAGAACTGAGCAGATAATTCACTTTTCCTGTCACATTAACCACTCCAAACTGATTTCATTTCTGCCCCTCTGAGCTCACCACCAAACCAAGCTGGGCTGAAACAGCTCCTGAGGGTCTGGGGCTGGTTTTTCCTTGGAAAACAACACAAGAAGGAATAACTTGCCTTCCTCTGCCTCCCTCTCTTGCCTTTGCAGCATCTGCTGCTCTGGGGGCAGTGCCTGCTGCAGGAGCTGCATGTAGAACTCGTTCTCCTTCTGCACCTCTTTCTGCTTCCTCAAACGCATCTTGTAGCTGACGTAACTTTTAAAGCCAAAGCCCAAAGTCACAACAGGGTAGCCAATGCTAAGGAGAAAATAAAATAAAATAAAAAAAAGCAGTGTTATTAATCAAATTATAGCCTTGATAGAGAGTTAATCAAGTGTGTACACCTGGGAACAACTTCCATAGAAGATGATCTATAAAGTGGTTTTTGCTGCTCCACAGGAGGTTTCCAGCAATGTTTGGAATACCCACACTCCAAATTCCTCACAGCACACACAGGTGGGACTTGTTTACACTCATTTCTCGTGGAATATTGGAATATTTCATGGCAGAAGAGTGATGGAAAAACTGAACAGCCGAGCCCTGAACCCAAATAAAAAGGCCTGATTGTTCATTTTCCTGGTGAAACGAAGGTTAACAGGGAAAGGACAGAGGAGAACTCACCAGTGCGCTGCAAACGGACGACAAAGGTCCACGTGAAAGTTTTTTAAATCTTTAAATCTAATGGCTGCTTCAATATAAACAAAAAGTATCCACAGTGATACTGTTGGTAAGCACACACCTCTTTCTGTGGAGAGAAGGGAAACAGAGGCACCTCAGGGACAGAGTACAGGCAGCAAGGATTTGAAAGTTCTTTTTAGAACATTTCAGGAGTCTAAGGAAAGGTTTCACCCCAAAAAGATCATAACTTAGAAAAAAAAAAGCAAGTTCCCATCAACTTGGATGAGCACTGAAAATGAGTAAGTCCTGAGGTTGCCATGAATTAAAATATTAAATCAGCTCAATAGCTACAGCTAAAACTGGCCCATCAGGTTCCTCCTTCTAAGCACCAACCCTGAACAACTTCAGATAAGGCTTTGACATATTAATACAGCTCTAAAAATAACCCCAGATTCTGCAGGTATTTGAAATTGGGCAGCAAGTGGCTCACAGCATCTGCCATCAGCTCCCACACTGCTGCTATTAGCAATGACTAAGTTGTCACAGAGCTGAGTGAGGGATGATCAAACCCCTGGGATCACAAAATGTTCCACAAATCCCAAGAATCTGGGGAGCAAAAGATCACCACTAAAAAAAACCAAAACAACTTAAATCAAATTTTAATCCTAAAATGTTTTGATTGAGGGAAGGAACTAAATCATCTCTCCCCAGCTCCGCTGCTTCATCCAAACCCAGGGATTTATGAGAACAAACCCAAACAACTCGGGGAGAAAAGGGCAACAGAGGGGGACAAAAATTCTCCATATAAGTCTCAAACTGTCAGGAAAACCTCTGGTATCACCAGCTCAGAAACTGGATCCAGCTTTGCTAAAACAGAATTTAACTCTGCCCACTGAAATAACTGAAATCTGAATATTATTATCTAAATTTGAGTGGGGAAGAACAGAGCACTGTCACAAACTTTTCCTGTGCGCTCTGTATTTGTTGAATTGCTGCAGGAGAGTTTTAAAGTCAGGAAATTAATCTTCTTTTTACTACTCTGGAATTCCTGTTTATTCCCCTCCAGTTCCTGCTTACTTGAGATGCACCCCAAGTGCAAAACCAAAAAACAAACCAACATTTTTAGCTCGAAAAAAATTGCATTAAGTGAGGTAACAGCGGGGGGGTTTTATTCCTAAAAGATGTGAGAGAAATTCTGAGCCCTGGAAGCTGTCAATAAAGAAGAGTTGTAAATAAAGAAGTAATAAATGAGTCTTTGCAAATAAAGAATAATGCCCCACCTGTGTGCCACACATACTGTACCCACACGTAGGTGCTGGCAGCAAAGAACAGCCACTGGATTGGGATGAAGAGCAGACAGATGATGTTGGAGGTAAATGCTACACACACAAAAAATACTGAGAAGGCCTGAAAGAAAGGAGGCAGGGGGATAAAGAAGAGAAAAAATAACCAAAATAGTTTTTTATATATATTAAAATATGTATAATACATTTTAGATAAAAAATCTAATAGCTATACTTTTATAACACACCAATATTTATAATATTCCATGATTATTTAATTTTAATCTAACATATTAGAAATATTTTTCTACAAGCTATTTATTTATATTTATATATAATCTATTTATAAATAAAAATTTTATATTTATATAATTTTATATAAAATATTTATCTATTTATATATAAAATTTTAATATAAAATTATATTTATATATTTATATTTATATATATTTATAGATATTTATATCTATTTATCTACATTTATCTATCTATATAATAGATATTTAAATCTAATATATATTTATAGATATTTATATCTATTTATCTACATTTATCTATCTATATAATAGATATTTAAATCTATTTACATATAGATAGCATATGCCTATATACACACATACTTATATAAATATAAAAACTCTATATAACAGGGTTTTCATTAAAATAATAAAGTCTTGCCTGTTTACATATATATATAAGGTTATACACATATAATAATATATTATTAATAAATATAAATATAAATATAAATATAAAATTATAAATATGTATATATAAAATATAATTCTGTTTAATTCAAACCCAGCTCAGCAATTGAAACAATATTTTTCCTGTGGTGAAATTTGGATAAATCTTTATTTCATTTTCACTCGAGAGAGAAGAAATAAATCAGAGAAAAGCTCTCCTGGTTGAGGAGGCTCTGAGTGCTATTGTAATATGGAATATTATATATATAATAATGTAGTAAATAATAATAGTGATAGTAATAATAATAGTAATAGTAATAATAATAATAATAAATAGTAAATAATAATAATAATAATAGCAAATAATAAAAATAATTATGATAATGATAATAATGATGAAAATGATAATGATGATGATGATAATCATGATAATAATGATGATAATAATGATAACAATAATAATAATAATGATAATAATAGTAAATAATAATGATAATGATAATAACGATAATTATAATAATGATAATAAAGATGATAATGATAATTATGATGATGATAATGATAATAATAACAGTGATAATGATGATAATGATAATAATAATAAATAATAGTAAATAATAATAGCAAATAATAATAATAATAAAAAAATAATGATGATAATAATGATGATAATAATGATGATAATGATGATGATTGATAATGATGATGATAATGATGATGATAATGATGATGATAATGATGATGATAATAATAATAATAATAATAATAATAATAATAATAATAATAATAATAATAATATAATTGCTGTGTAATATGGAATATTCCCTGGAGTGCAGGATTCCCTGGAAAGGCTCAGGGCTCCTGAGCACACTCACCAAGCCCTGGTATCGGAAGGAATCGTAAACGCTCCTGATGAAGAGCCAGAAGGGCCACAGGTACTCAAACCTGAACTCCAGCACAAAATCTGCCAGCAGCACCAGGGCCCACACCACCAGGAACTTCAGGTACAGGAAGGTGCTGGGGGGAAAGAAGAAGGAAATTTCAGGTCAGGATTTCCAATAGATAAACTCAGTTTTTGGGTTTTTTTTTGGTTTTTTTGGGTTTTTTAATTAAAATATTCAGAATTACAACTGTAATACAGAGAAGGAAATGTCAGCCAAAATAATTTTATAAAATAAGTTCAGGGTTTTTTTTTTTTATTATTATTATTCCATTACAGCAGGCCTGGTCTAATGAAGCTGATACTGAACTGCATTTATTTCTCCTGATAAACAGCAGGACACACATGACATCAGCACCCATTTGCATTTTCACACAGTGAAATCCTGCCAAAGGTAACTTCTCCAAGCTGCAATCTTCCTTTTCCAGTCCTCTCCTGCCCCTGGAGCTCAGGAATTTCAGTGTTGCCCCTCCTCAGCAGGCTGCAGATGTTCCCTCATTTAACACAGACTGTAACACCGATAAACTGAGATGTATTTAGAGCCCACAGCAATTTAAAGATTGTTTTGATACTGAGTTACCAGTGTTAGATTTGAAAACGTTTCTATGAAGG